CTGTGGCAATTAAAACAATGTGCAACTCAAAAAAGACAAATATATCGGGGAGAAGGGTGCAACAATGAATGAATGGAATCCCAAAATCTCTGTAGATGTTCATTGAAATGAAAAATAAACAACCTAAATTTAAAAAAAATAATTCCTCTTCATTATGGCTGGGCCTGCAAATGCTTGGATTTAGGATTGCTGTTTTAAAGAATTATCACCAGGGTTTTGGTTGGTTTGGTGTTTTTTTTAGTTTTTTTAATCCATTTTTTCCCCTGTATTTGTATCTTGTAGGAATCTGCAGCTTATAAATGCCTCTTATGGCTGTACTTTGTAATAGATTTGGGGTTAGTTGGATATTCAGCCTACTTTGTCTCTGTCTTGACAGATGTCTTCTAAATCGATCACAGTGACCACCCCTCCAGAATTATTGTTCCATTCATTAAATCCACTACACTGTAGAATTGGGATTTAAGAGGAAAATAATGAAAGTAAATCAAATGTGATTTTTCTGTCAATTTGTTCAGCACAAAACTGGAATCATTTCAAAAACACTTACTGCTCTTTATAGCAAAAAGAGAACAGTGCTAAAATTTTTTTTCTTCTTTCTCTGACGATTTTCTTATTCTCAACTAGTGAGCAGTGTGGAAAACCACAGACCTTAAAAACAAGGGCAATTGGTTGCAACCACATGTTTTCTGCATTATTACAAAATAGGCAATGTGGGACCTTTGCCTAAAATCTAAAATAGCACTTGCCACATCTTTTGCACTTTGGCTATCTGCACACAGGACACTCATAAGCATTTATGTGTGTGTCTATGTGTGTGTGTATATAGATTACACACACTTAACCTGTCCAGTTAGCCTTGACTCATAGCTGTTTTATGACCAAAAGAATGAAACACTACCTAGTACCATGTACTCTTCACAGTTTCTAGCATGTTTGAAAACAGTGTGTCAGTCCGTTTCACTGAGGGTCTCCTCCAGAATCTGTGGACCTCTACTTCAGCATTGTAATGACATCAGCAGATGTTCACATCTCCTTATGATATATCTAAAGCAAGTACATCTGACTGGGTTTGGTTTTTTGTTTTTTTGGGTTTTTTTTTTTTTCTATAATACTTGCATTAGCGAATTTTTGTCATAGGGGAGCTCTGGACCTAGTGAGAAAGGAGGTGAGCTTCCAATCCAAAGGTAGACAGTTTGAATCCAACAGTTACGCCGTCGTAGAAAAATAACCAGGCTCTTCATGTGCAATCTCTTCTTGGTGATTTATAGTCTCTGAAAACTCACTGAAGAAGGGTCAACAGTGAGTGAGTAAGTGAATTTTTGTCACAGATTTTCTAGTCTTCCTCATCTTACTTACTCCAGAAGTTCCACTGAGAAGTACTGATCAAGAGTGATGCTACTGGTGTTTGAAATGCCTGTAGTATAGTTTCCAGTGTTGTAACAACACGTAAGACACAATAGCATGATAAAGTGACAGGTAGGTAGAGAGAAACAGCTCCATACACACAGTTGCATGTCATTAATTGATAGATTTTGTTCTGATTTTTGGAACCAATTATATGCATAGAGTGCTTTTGTTTGACATATTTATACCACTCTCTTGCTAAATC